CCCCCCCCTCCTCTCTCCTTGTGAGTGAGAAGAAGAATGGCGAAGGGGGGGGGGTTGGTGCAAGGTGCATTCGGCTCAGTCACGATTCCTCCCTGCAGCAGCAGAAGCAGCAGGTGTATCGTTCGCGCCTCATTGATTGTTATCTAATTGGCGTTTCTGTTCCATTCCCACCCCCTCTACACCCCTGCTCCGTCCTCTTGAGAACGCGTGATCAATGGGCTAACCGGGCCAAGGCATGCGAAACATGAGCACGCCCCCCCTCTACAAATCTGCTTCCCCTTGAACCCTGGTGGGTGCATGTGTCTTTTCTTTTAGGCCTTGGCGGCGTACGAGGAGAGAGAACTGCCTGCCCTGAAGGAGGAGAAGCCGGGCCTGAAGCTGCGCCAGTACAAGCAGATGCTATTCGAGCAGGTGAACGATGCGTGCTTTTCCCCCCCTGCTGCTGTGTGTTGTCGAGTTCAGGAAGCGACCGGCGCTTTTCACTTGTTACAGCGTCGTTGCCGGGCAACAAATAATCATGACGGGGGGGATTGTTTTTTCGTTCCTCGTCGAATTGTTCTCTTTTCCTCTTCGATTGGCCTTCGCGGTCGGACGTCCACACTATTCTGCGTGGGATCTTGCTGCAAAGAGCGGCGCGAAGCCGGGCTACGTCTACCCCATCCCTTACCCCGATCCTATTCTCCGAAACGCCTCCCTCTCCCCCTCCTCACCGCGATATCAATCGTGTATCCCCCCCCCGCCCCCTTTGCGTTTGTCACCCCCGTCACCCCTCCCGTGTGTGTCTTGCCCGCTTGCTGTCTGTCTATCCCCCGCTCCACCCACAATTTCGCGGAAATTTCTGTCAGTTCCAAAAGTCGCCCGAGAATCCCGTCAACAAGGCAAGAGCGGCGGAGGCAGCGGAAGCGGAAGCGGCAGCGGCAGCGGCAGCGGCAGTGGCCAAAAAGTAAAAAACGCCTTCCGATACATTCAAACTCTCTTTTCTTTCTGTTCGCTGCAGTGATCCAGCACGACCCCACGGTTGAAGCATGGGCGGGTACGTTGTTTGCTGGCCAATCAGTAGCCATCGACTATGTACAGTACGAGTGAATCTCGCTCGGGCGAGAAAAGCACCGTTCCTGGTCCTTCTGGGACAGGGGTGGAGGGTGTGGGGGGGTGACAAGTTGTTGCTGGCCATTAGTCGACCACTAGACATCGACCCCGAGTGAAGCACCGTACCTGGTCCTTGTGGGATTGGGACTGGGTGTGAGATGTTGTTGCTGGCCAGTGGCCATCGACCACCACGAGCGTGTCCTCGTGGGCCATGGGTGGGGGGACAAGTTGTTGTTGCTGACTACTCAAATGCCATCGATCGCGAGTGAATCTCAAGGCCTTTGTTGAGAGGTCTTGCAACCTGGCGAAGGCGCGACCGCTTTCAAGTACGGCAGTGTATGTCCTCAAGGAAGCTGTTTGCCGTGATTGGTTGAAATTCTGGTCGGGGCGGCGGGGGCTTGTCGTTCGTATGCGCTGTCCAAAGGCAGATGTGTCGCTTCCAGCGCCCCTGGTCCGGTGCTTGCTTGTACCAACATCTTGGGGATATTTAATGTTCGAGTGTGCTCCTGTGTATCTGGCAAGTTCTTGGATGCTCTGGACGAGGATATAGAAGCTATGCATACGTCCCCGCCTTTTTTCAACGAATCCCGCCCCGCCTTCTCCACGAACGACGGTTCCCTTCTGAACGCTACAGCAGTACCACACTGTTCTGTTTGCGCTGCGGCCGCGAGTTGGTAGCAGCGCGCCCGGG